CGGCATTGGACGGTGTGTAACCTGCGCAGATGGTAAACCGTTATTAAATAAAACATCTTTATTTATTTATTTATCGTCGTACAAACAGAACGTTTCTCTTATCAGTACCAGGCGTAGGTCTTACACTTTTGTGCTGAAGAATAAATGCGGCGGTAGGAGGTTGGTAGAGGTGATGCTGGGATGGAGAAATATATGTAGTAGACAATAACAAGAGGGGAATGGTTAAAAAAAAGGAGTATTAGAAGATTGTCTGAAGGTCAGACAGAGAGAGTGTGAGATGGGGGGAATGTAAATGTGAAGATACATGGACGCATATGTGAGATACGAAGCAGAAACCAACATAAATGAGGAAAATGCAACACAGCAGCAGACAATCCTGGTTCGCGGATCGTGGTTTTGCTTAGTCGCGAGAAAAGTTTTTGTTACAATGTTTGCGCGTCCCAACTAGGTCCATCACTTTTTAGCGCAGGCGCGCGGAGGAATACACAACTGCCATTGTCTGCCCGACTATCGAGATAAATCGAACGTACTTTCACTCTGATAACTTTCAGCCAGTAATCCCGACGTCATTCTAGTAAATACAAAATGTTATTTGTTTCATGTTTATTAATAATTGATTATATATATATATATACTAAGTATCATATTTCGTGTGTTTCTGGTTATCCTAACCCAACTTTTCCCATCGGCTCTGAAGTTTTCAAGTATGTAGCCCCCGCCAAAGGCGAAGTTGTGCTGTGTGCGATAGACGACACTTAAGTTACATTATGCTTATCATAATTTATTATATTATTTATTTCAGTAGGAAAAAAAAAGTAGCATAACTACCAAAAGGTGTCCCTGGTTTCCTCCCGTCAAACTTCCTATTTTGAAAAATAGATCAAATTAATATAATCTAATCTAACCGAACATAACCTGTCCTTATTTAATATATAATAACATATAATCTAACCTAAACTCATCTGACAAGAATTGACCTGAAATGACTTGACAATAGCAGAACACACACTGGACCTCACCCAACACAACCCAACCTTCCATGACGACGCCGAACGTCCTGACGCCCATAGTCTCGCCTCAAATCTTAGCAACACTCGTGGACGCCCAGTTACGCTATAGGGTCCCAACAGCAAGTAGAGCGACACCCATGGGCCCGACGCAAAGCGCCGCGGGGAATATTGGATCGACGTCAGGCGACGTGACGTCCATTGTTCCGACGCAAAGCACCGTGATTCGCGACGCAAAGTGTGGCTACGCCCGTATTACCGACGAAAGTGTAGAGATCTGTATCTGGTCAGACCATGAGGAATATGCCCATTGCCGATTTAGGCTCTGACGATGGAGAACGTATGTTCCTCTTAAATGTTGGTTCTACGTAGGAGTTTTCAGTGCCTTACAAACCACAAGGTCATCGTCTTCATCATCATCCGGAATATCGTATGCCTGAAAATTGTTTTCTCTCTGTTCCGGCTTCTCGTCTGTTTCTTGGCTGCCCTGTATTTTATTCAGTTGCATGTCGTTTTAAGTCCAATTAACCGTCCACTTTTTGTAAGTGTTACAGCCGTTTGTCTCTATAATTTCTTTCCTTACCACAACACCACTCAGTTACATTTTCTGTTATAAATACACAAAATAAAGAGAAGTGTTTTGTTTATAGAAAGGCTAAATCATTTGTGTGTTATTTTTCTGGTAAAACTTTACAAATTTATCAGTTATTTTGATTTATGGATTATCATGAAATTGACACTCATTGAAATAGATACAGCATTCGAGAGTCATCTTGTGGTGGATATTTGAAGTAAATGTGACAAGCAATCATGACGTCATGACCTATGAACTCGTGGTAAGCTTCGAGGAGAGTAGGAGAGGATAATCGACTGTAGGGTTTTGCGTGCAGTGGTCAAAGGAATTTGCATAACATTCCACGGACAAAGAACTGTAGCATACACATTTTCTTCATTCAACAAACCATAACTGTTTCACAATTACACGTACAGTAGGCCTAAGACAATGGTGTTATCAACGAAAATAGTTTTATTTAAACAACGCAAATACGTTCATGAATTTCACAAGTAATATGTTTTCAACAACGTATCTGTGAACGTTCTCCGTCTGTAACAATGCATGTCTAATAATACCATCCCGACAAAATTTTGGTGTTATAATGTGGCATTTGGAGTTTCTTCAAAAGTGTATCGACCATTTATAACTTTCTTCGAAACTGATGATAAAATTATTAACCCTTTTAATGTCGTATTATTTTATTAAAGAGATGTTTTCATTCTTGTCCTATTGCACTGATTTTGTTTGTGTAGTGAACTTCAACTGTTTATTTTGACTGATCTTTTCAAACACTTTAAATTTAGTTTTTAGGGGACGGCTGTTCTAAGTATGATATCTGGAGCGTAGTTTGGTGAAAGCTTAGTGTTTATATTCGACTAAGTGCACAGATTATTTGTGATTTTTATCACAATTAGTAAATTGTATATTGAAGGAAGTACTAATTAATTTACTATGTGTTGATAGTATCAGTCCCTTGATAAAATATTTTAGTTATATGTAGTGTCTTTGAGAAACTTTCTATAAATTATAAACGTGACGTCTCTGTTCACGTATCTGAAACCGATTAAAGAATAAGGATTATCAATTTTAAACAATGAACGCAGAATTATAATTTTTTTCTCGTTATATTTTATTTTCCCAAGTGTTTTGAATTCCATATTGCACGAACGTAAAGGAAGGTAAGGGAAGATTCAGAAATAATTACGAGAAGAAAAGGAAGATCTGCGATAAATATGTGTGGAAGGAGATTAGAAGAAAAGAAGCGAAAATCGAAAAGAGTGAATAGAACAAAACAGAATAGTGTAATAATGTTTATATATTCTCGGCATTTATGTTATTTCGGAAATATGATTTCATGCTTGGCTCTGAAGGCCTTAGAAATTCTTTACAATTGAAGGAAAAAAAGGTAGAGAGCCAAAACGGAGCATATTAATTTTGACCACGCAGTATGGAACGAGATTTTGTTCTTTTAAAGTTGTGTTTCAGTATTCAAGTGACTTTACTCGAGATAACCTCTTAGTTTATTTTTTTTTCTATATTCATTGACTTTATAGGCGGTTTTCGTGAACTTCGTTCTCCGACTTTTATGCTTAGACAGCGACATTATGGATTGAACACAGAGAATTCTTTGCTTTTAAAAATGGCGCTATGAAGTCATGCATTCTCTTTAGTGATGGCGTCTGAAGCTCGGCATTTTTTGAAAAATCTCGAGAACAGCCTTTGAGCTGTTATCGCAATGGAAGACACTCGTCTGTTGTCTGCAACATAGAAACATGTCAACACGTAGAGTAGGCAAGGAACTAAATTCATTTAAGGAAAGGGACGAAAACCATTTTTACATATATCTATTGTTAGTTTTAAATACAAAGAGGTCAGTTCATAATCCTTGCGTATGAAGATGACAACTTTCCTTTTATCCGTATTTATCTGAATATTGTATATTTAATGAGTATTTGAGCCAGATAAAGCTTTCGGTCCAACATGGTGACCGTGTGGTCTATAGAATGGGTTCGAACACCTCTCCATGAAAGCAAGTGTTGGCTGGTGATCACTTACTGTTAAGGGATTTTGATCCTTATGGGATACCATTTATGACTGTATGTTTATTACTTGAAATTTCCGATCAATATAAACGGGCAGAGTACCGTGTAAAGATGTAGAAAGTTCAGTCAACCTTTTTTTGCACTTCAAGGTAAGGCCTCTGGCTGTTTTCCAACTTGAAACTATTTTGGATCTGGTAGCTTTTTTCGTCTTCTAATGCTGAAAAAGAAGTCATGTATCTATAGCGATCTTAGTGAGGGTCATTCCTTCTACATGGTCAGTCAATATATCCTGTGGTAATTTATCTTGTCCGTTATTGTACAATGTGTAATTCCAGTTCCGCCTTTGTAGATGTACCAGTTGTTTATGAAAAAGACAAGCAGTTGAAGAGAGTAGTTCCAAAACTGTCTTAGCCAACTTTTCTCATTTTCCATCTAAGTCAAGTTCATGTTAATGTACTGAATTCACCTTAAAAATCAGTACATATTTTAAATTTTATTGAAACGATTCAGTGAGTTTTGAAACTACAATCTTCAACTGTAAAATAACGAATCTGAAAAATGGTAATTTTATAACAGCATATTTCATGTCAAAAATTAGTATGTCCACATTTGTTAACCTAAATACATTAATTTTCCATGTTACCATTAATTTTTTTTAATTGTCTGTTTTTGCATTCATGAACCAAAATTATTTTCCGTTGCTCTACTGATGGAGGTAGGAAGTATCTCTGAAACGTCGGTAAATATCTGCTATATTGCACAGCGCTACAATCGAGAAGGCAGCCATCTTTATACTCGCAGCTGTAAGAACATGAAATTCTACTTATTCGTTAAAGTAGCTTGTGTCTTCATTTGAGACTGCACACTTTACTGGCGTTGTTAAATTTGCTGAATCTTTGCGCAGAAATTTGAAAATAAGTTTCAGCTTCTTAACCTATGTCACTTTTACACTGATAATTGTAAGGCTTTCTTATGAGTAGTGTGACGTAGATAGTGTACAGTATTTATGAGAGTCCGTTATCGATGCTCTGTGAGCATTTTTATCCGGAGTGAAGGAAACGGGAATTTTGTCTCTTAAAAATGCAGCCGAGAATGATGTATGAGGCAGTACGTTGCCTGCTAGTCTCCGGTTTGTTTGCTACATTTGTGAACTATTCATCAACTTGAGCCTTTAAAAGTGTTGTGTTCGTGGATTCGTTTACTTTGAAGTGCAATTCTTATTAGTGTTTTCATGAATTATCATTAAAAATGTAACTGCAGAATGTCGAAACACTTTGTTGTATCGGACACATATATAATAATTTAGATTTATATAACTTATGTAACTTTTAGCTTTAATAGCATATTAGTATGTGGAATCTTTATTACGCTACATCGCAAATGGTTGAAATAACCTAACTATGAACATTAAAAACAAATGTTTAGAGTAGTAAGAAATGACTTAGCATTTGCTTACGTCTATCTATTCGTCATATTATTTTAGCGTGGAAAGTATAAAATATTGCACCAATTTCTGATTATGTTTAATTTGAATGTAAAGGAATTCTACGCCATAAATTCCGTTTACTTTCATTTAATTAAAGAATTAAATATGAACTTTCTATTTCGATATACCGAAAGAGCCTAGAATTTAAAAATTATGAATATTTGAAATGGAATGTGATTATTCGTGGTCTTCGTTTAATTCTTACGCATTTTAGTTTCGTAGTAAAATTGTACTTATTTAAGAGATTTAAATTATTTTGCTTGTATTGCATTTACAGTTTCATCTTAAATTAATTCAGAAAGTGTAGATCGCATATTGCATTTGGGCTTCGTACAGAAGTTTACTTCGTCATCTTCCTGAGTTTATTCCTTCCAGTTGAGTTACCAAGTCAGTCGCTAATCAAAAGTGATTAAATCCGATAATTACATACCTTAAAAAATTGTGCTTTTAATTTGGCCTGTCCGTTTATCTAGAATTTGAAATATTCTATTATTTTACAAATTTTAAATTAAATCATTTTAAAACTGTTACAGATTTCATGCATTTATTTATATACATATAAGCTTATTTCTGCACATTTCCGCGATAGTGTCTTCAGATTGTATTCAACAATTAATTTATAGGCCTAAAAATTTCTTATTGCATTTTATTACTTAAACTACAATTTGTTTCTAATTCCCTGAAATTTCTTTAAACAAGAACATACAAAAATATTCAACAATTAATTTATAGTCCTAAAAATTTCTTATTGCAGTCTATTACTTAAACTATAATTTGTTTCTAATTCCCTTAAATTTCTTTAAACAAGAACATACAAAATGTTAAGTTATATCTGTGTTTTATGCTACTAATATTTGAAAAGAAATTTTTCCTTGATATATTTCAATAAACCATTTTGCGTATACATGTGTGTTCTTGATAAAATATATAAGTAACATTTTTGTCGTTGAAAAGCCGCGAACAGTTAAGAGCATTTAATTCTTCAGAGATGAAGCGACATGTTTCCTTTACTGATCTCCTCAGACACTAAAACAAGATTCAAACAACAAAGAATTTTATCACTTCGAAGTAAACTTACATATTACTAAAACAAATCTAGGAGTCTGTTTAGTGTATGAGCGTATTATTTACTTTATGATTTTAAAAAAACTCATAGAAGTATTAATTAACATATGTGTCTTGTAGTAAGGTTACAATGAAGTGTTAAATTTTATTCTTTTACATATATAGTGTGGGCGTTATGTCAGAGTGACTGCCAATCTTATACCAGGATTTAGAGAATTCTGTCTTTGAATGCATAGGTTACTAGAAACAGTTCGCAGTGAAATTTAGTCGTGTGAAAGATGTACTCAGGAAATGCAGGTCTAGGAGCGTGGAGGAGTAGTGGTGCGGAAAGTTCAGCACCACCCCCTAGGTACCTCAGAGATGACGAACTTCTGCCTTCGGCTGGTATTCATTGCTACTGTTCTGGTCCATCAGCTGTAAATAACCATCAGGTATACAGCTAACACAGAAAACAATTCTGCCCTCTAGCATTAACATCCTTTGGCTAAGTAATTTTGGGTGCCCCGAACTTTGTAATCGGAGCATGGATTACATGTAGACATTTTTATGTGTTGTATTGTACTTAATAGGTAGACTTCAAATAGATAGATCCCTGTCGAAGCAGTTCTAGAATGTTTTTAATAGTATTAGAATTAATTCTCAATTTAAATAGATCAAAGGACATGAAAACAAAGGAAGTATATGAAGTTGGGTTTAGAATGATTTTCGTTATTAAATCCGTGAAAATTTTACCGGGTACAAGGAACCAGTTTGTTACAGGATTAGAAGTTCTCCCTAGATTTCTACCTGCAATTCTTTCTTCTTTGTATGCTTTTGTCGTCTTCGCTTGTTAGTTACTTTATTTGTTTTGTTTATTTCTTTCTTGTTTGCGTCATAGCAAATACAGCCAAGGAGTCGTATAGCTGTATTCTTAAGCAATTATTTCGTCGTGAAGAATCCGTGTCCTGATTTGGTTAAAACTTTACAAGAATGTTTGCCGTAACTGAGGATAAATTAAGGAGTTGTTGGAGAAAATATCAAAAACGCTATTATCCAATGAGGGAGACAGCAGGGAAGAAGAGAACACGAGAACGAAGTGGGGAAGAATGAAATAAAGCAGAGATCAAAATAAAATTCCTTTAATATTGGAACGTTTCAAAATTACTAATTCTTTCTCTCGTGCGCCTATTATTTTTACTGTCTCCCTTTCCCCCCCTGGTCCCCTTTGGTTTTGTTGCGACTTTTATAAAGAGTTATCCAATTCTTTAAAACTAAAGAGACGGATCCAGCCTTCTTTATTTTACCCTAACTTTTTAACCCTTAATAAAACGTTTCTGGAGGAAATTCTTATGAATATAAGAAACTATTCGTTATTATAACATTAAAGACTGATGTGGTATATCGGCCCGTGTAGAGGGCGGACATCTCAGGGTGCTTTTGTACTAAATTCTCTAGTTGTAAGGGTGAACGGGGCACGTGTCTGTAATGAGGGGGAGTTGTTAACTAGGTGAGCGACTGTTAGCTTCTGAAGAATTCTATTCTATTAAGTTTGAATTAAATAGACTCTGACGCGGCATTTCTCCAGCGTCTGGATACCGTTGACTACAGTAGGAAGTTAATTTTAAATTCAAAAGTCTTCAACTTAATAACGCGGTCTCCTGTTTTCCATGCACACGTATCGGTTCTCGGTCTTTGTTACATGCATTGGCTTTTGTAACGAAAAATACGGGAAGCTGACGACAGGTGGCGAGTGGGTGGATTTTGCTGAGACCCTCCCCCGCTGCTCTGCTCCCCTCAGAGAACTAACTGGACAACTTCCGGCTTGTGTACTTTCATTATTTACAGCGTGATGTTTAATAAACTGTACTCGATGTAACGCTGTCTAAACTTTCACCAAGTGTTCTTTGTGGTGCCATCGTTTTATCGAAATGAAGTTTAAAAGGAACGGCAGAAACATAGAAACTACTTCCATATTGAGTATGAACATGGGTGTGTTCTGGGATGTTTCGCCTTGTAGTCTGGTAGACGTTTTAGAGGTGTTTGCTGCCTCCATTAAGAGGGCGTCCTGATGATGGAGGCAGTAAGAACCTCTGAAACAGCCAACTTGTCTAAATCTTTTTTTAACCCCAAACGCAGTTTGTACGTCATGAATGTATAGTTACTCGCAAACCTCACATTTACGCCAGGATTCAAGAGAGATTATATAGCCCATCATTTCTCCATATGACAATAGTAGCTGCTGCATTTTTCTTTTGAGTTGTATGCGCAAGATGTATTACA